ACAGAATCAGGACAAGCTGACTTATGCTCTCCATCTGCCTCCCAGGTGGGGGGGGGGAGAGAAAGTTCATTGGTGCTGACCCTAAGACTTCCACAAAAACTGCAAACTGCCCCTGAAAAGCATCTGCTCCGCGAGTGAAACTCACCATCTAGACTTCTTTACGCACCCTGGATTTTTAGCCCGTACTTAACATTCCTCTACACGGTGGTGGTTGTGGCCCAGTTTAAGCTGCAGTGTGATTTACTGTTCAAGTGGTTACGCACTGAAAGCAGGCAGCATTGTGCCTTTCACCGCTAGGCCCGGGAAGAAACCATATCACATTGCCCCGTAACGTCGGGGTGGAACCTGTTGTAATTAACGCACGTGTGTCCTTAACGCTAACATGCAAAAAGTATTTTGGCACTTGCTCTTAATTATCGCAGAGCATCTTGTTCCTCTCAGTTACGCTGTATTAAATACATGCTGTCTCCTTTCCAATAATTGCTATTACAATATCTGTATACCTCCTTGGGTTTAATACCTCTCCCAAGAGTGGATTTGCAGCAGGTGGGAGTCAAGACGGTGCCAGTCAGCAGTTGTCCTCTCCAGGGACCTGGACACAACACGGTCCTGCTCCAGTCTGTTCCTGCCTTTGCTGTTACGGAGAGGATTCAGGTCAAGGAGGACTTGGGCCTGAGCATCCCAAACTGCTCACGCGCGTCTTCTGGGGACAAAGCACCTGGCCGCCTGTTTGCGATCGCCTTCTCCGAAATGAATAACTGGTGATTCGTACAGTCGGGGACCCCTGAGCCTGTGTTTCACGGACCAGAGGCGACGTGCAGGGGAAGGAAAACAACCTCTGCTCTAGCTTGTCCCTACTCCGTTTTCGGGCAGGCTGAGCGCATGTGGCCCCAAAGGATTGGGGCATAGGGCTCTCCCTTTATTTATATACCTCCGTTCCCCACATTATTTTAAGCGTGAGCATGTGCTCTCTGAGAATTACTTCTAATGATTCTTGTAAGACCGCTCCTTCGTTTAGGAAGCTGTTAGTCTAACGTATTACCAGAAAGCGACTGGAACCGCTTTGCTTACGTGTCAGTCTGGGGGTCGTTGCTAGCTACCAAATTGTCTTTGGTCGTCTTTCCTTGTATGTCTGTTTTTTTTTTTTTTTTTTGGTTGGTGGTGGCCCTTCGTTTAATGCTAAATAAATGCATTACTGCAGCCTGGTGCATTGTGGCAGAAGAAGTACCCTTTCGTTCCCGTAGTAATCCTTGCTGGAGGGATGAGCAGGGTGTTTTCGCACGGCTGTTGCTGGACCTCGGCAGGTAGAGCCGCGCTTCGGCAGCTGCTCGGTCAACCGTCT